ATGGTGGTTTCTAGACTCTCCATCTTTGCTCATGGTCTGCCGAGCTATTGAAATCTCAACTCTCCTGTACGCCTTGAGAGACTTGAATGATTCCATCAAATGGAACTTCGTAGAATCCTGCAGAACACGTGATACGAACAAATCACCAACAATGAAGTTCTCCTCCTACATATATATATATATATATATATATATATATATATATATATAGGCAGAATTTTCTGATGATCAAGATTATTTATCTTAAATCCATCAGTAGACGAAACGCGTTAGTAAAGAAAAGTTTTCATTTTGTTTTTATATATATATATATATATATATATATATAGAGAGAGTGCTGCTCGATAAAAGTGACTCACCTGATTTTCTTTTACTTAAAATTTTTTTCGCCTATTGTTTTTTTGGTCAAACTAATTTTTAATCTTACTAATATAAAGACCCCTTCCCGACCACTGATTAAAATGTTTACTCACCCTAAGGTATTCTATTGATAATTATACTTTTGGATATAAATGAGATTTAGGGAAAAACTCTGTGCAAAAAATATATAAATAACTGAACAGCTTTAAATAAAGAATAATAAAGGTATAATTTATTTATAATAGGTAATATAGTTCGAAATATTTAATAATCTATGGGTCTTCCTTTATTTTGAATAACCTTTTCAGCCCTTTTTGGCATTGACTTGATTAGGTGCTGGCAAATCTCATATCCAAGCATTAAATTCCATTCGGATATGAAATTCACAATCAAATCCTCTTTGTTGCTCAACTGCTTTCTCGAAAGCCTGTACTTTATAATGCTCCATAAGTTTTCTATGGAGTTGGTATCAGGAGATTGGGGCGGCCATGTCAAAACACTCACTTGTTTCTCATCAAAGTATTCCTTCATCAATTTTGATTTGTGACAGGGAGCATTTTCTTGGTGGAGCTTGGTGGGGTCGATTTGCACCCTTTAAAAACTCTAAAATTCTCTTGTACTGCTCGCTCCTGAAGGTCTTTTCAATGGGTTTTAAGAAACCAGTTCCATGAAAAAAGAAAAGCATCCCCAGAATATTATACTGAACGGATCCTTGACAGTGCTTACTGCTAAATTCAAAGAGCTTTCAAAGCTTCTTCTTCAGATTTCAGATCGCTTATCCTTTGAATTTAGCTCAACTTTTGTTTCATCGGAGAAAACATTTAGTAAAAAAAAATCAGGTGAGTCACTTTTATCGAACAGCACTGTATATATATATATATATATATATATATATATATATATATATATTATGATTAAGGTCTTAATTCACAGGGCACTTAAGTTATGTTCTGAGGGTCTTCTCTGCGAGGAAATTGACTTTGTTAGAATGACACTATCAAAAAACGGATATTCATTGGATGTTTTAGACTCCGTTATTCAAGACGTCATCAATAAATTCCATAGGGTGAAACCGCAATTAGCTGATAAATGCCCAGTTTATTTGCGTCTTCCCTATATTGGTACAGAGGGTGAGAGTTTATCGAAACGTATTTCACGTTTAATCAATAGTTGTTATTTTTCGGCGAATGTTAGGGTGATATTTGTTACCCGTCCTGCTTTCTCTTCCATTCGTAAAGACGTCCTCCCTCCCCATCATGTTAATTCAGTGATTTACCAATACAAGTGTAGTTGTGGACACGACTACATAGGGAGGAGCGTTTGAATTCGAGAATAAAGCAGCATTTACTCCCCAGGATTTTGAATCCGTCCTCAAGGAATAGCCAACAGACAAACAGTTCTGGTTATGCTATTGCTAAACATTTAATAAATAGAAGGAAATGTGTGGAAAATTTTAGTGGTGACCGATTTATAATTTTATCTAGGTCCCACTCCACAGGTTCTAGAGTCCTTGTATATCAGATCCCGTGAGCCTTCCCTTTGTAAACAGAGGCAATGCTTGCTGGCTCAGAATATTATTCGACTCTAGTTTCTTGAAATTCATCATTTTTTCCCCCATTCGAGTACATTCGTTAATTAAAAATTAATTTACATGTTTTTTTTTTAAATTCCCAGAATAAATGCACTTGATAATTCCTGGGACGAAACCGGTTGCTTTATTTTAGCTTTTGCTTTTAAAAATGCCTTATAAATATTGTCTTTTCCTATCTATTATTAAATTCTGTACCACGGAAAACTTATTTAAATATATATATATATATATATATAATTATTTATATATTATATGCGCGGTACTTATCAGAAAGCGCTCAATATCAGAGATAGAGCTAACATATTTGGTTGGATAGATGTAAGTTTGTGACCCTGGGTTTCAAGCTTTAGCGATCGTCAGACAAATTGTCTGACGATCGCTAAAGCGTGAAACCCAGGGTCACAAACTCACATCTATCCAACCATATATATATTGGGGATATATTGGTGTGTATTTTTTTTTCTTTTTCTTTTGTTTTCTATTCTGCTCTGCTATTAGGGACAAGACCAAAAGAATTGATTGATTATTTTTATTTTTTTACAGCTTATCAACCCTTTGTGAGAAACATATTTTGGATTGTAAGAATAATTCTTTTTTTTTGTGACTGAATTCTGCAGTAACATTTTTTCTTTTAGAATAACAATGATTTTTCCAGATAAAAGTACTACTATTTAACCCATACCTCGGAGTGGATTTTTACCTATCTTAGGAATATTTGCGCGTAAGTGCAAAATAATTCATGGACGGAAGAGAAGACTGTATCGGTCAAAAAGTTTTGCTGGAAACAATCGATCAAATATTATTTACTTTATTTATACACTAATAGACTCACTTTTGCTGTTGTTTTTATCACAACATTTCAATAGCTCCAGCTCTGTTCTCCTGCCTTTTCTGGTGTCTGTTGATCGGTGTAACTTTCAATGAATTTCAAACTGAACCATTTAAGTAATCTGCGGGTTCACTCACCTGATACCAGCTGGTATAGCTTCGTGTTCACAGGGATAAACATACACAGAAATAACACTAAAACATGTTAAATAGTAAATTAAAATCATACTATTTTATTTATTTTTGTCTACTAGTGTGTGTGTGTATTTTAGTTGCATGTGTTTTCAGGTTGCGTGTAATAAAGGAAGAAAATCACTTCGTATTATAACCAGCAATACTTTGAGGAGAGGAGATGGGCGTCTTAACCTTCAAGCGGTCGATAGCGAAAGAGACTGTGTTCAGAGTTTTTTGGCGCGAAGTCCGTTTTCAGACAGGAAAAGTTTCTGTTGCATTCAGGGAGAACTTTTATTATTTTTGTTTTATTTATTTTATGTTAAACAAAGTTTTAATGTTATTTGTTTTTATTTTATTTATGATATTCATTATTATTATTTTATATTTTTATTTATTAATAATAATAATGTCCTTACAAATCTATGTAGGTAGAGTGTTCTCGTTTTGCTGTCAATATCGAGAGATATCTTGTTTTGTTCTTATTTTGTACTGCTCAGTTATCGGGTAGTAATCAAAGTCGTAGAGACTCAGTGGAAACAAGGCGAGCAATAAGTGAACAGTGTCAAAATGACATGTACATAAACATGGAAAGCGAAAAGAAAACAATCTACACCATAGATTATATAAAGGGTTCAGTTTGAATTTCCTTGAAAGTTATACACATCGACAAGTACATGAAGAAGGCTAAAGAGCAAAACGGCTAAAATGGTGTGATAACAACAAAGGTGTGGATATTAGTTCAAATGTAAATAAAATAAATAACACCTCAGCCCAGAAATTCGGACAGAAATTATCAAATGATATTTTGAATATTTTTATGCCACTTACTAATTTTCTATTGAAGTAATGGAAAAAATTCGGTTACTAAAGGTCAACTCGTGAGAAATGAACCTATAAAAAAAACAAGGGTCAGAAAAAAGCAATGCTTGAGTTGGGCAGATGAAAGCTAAAGAACATATAGTGATTTTAAGGTGACTTAAATTTGGCACAAGGCCGAAAGTAGGAGACACCCACTGAGGATCGAACTCACTATTAAGTCGTAATTGTTTTAACAAGAGAAGCGCGCTAACCATTACACCACCTCGAAGTGTCCAATCAGGGAGGCATATCTTTATATAATCAAGATTTTCTTTTAATGTTTAATCTTTCCTGCGTTAATTTTTATCTCTTTTTACCAGCATGTTTCCAAGAATAAATATTTGAAGACAAATATTAGCTGCCGGGATATTATCAAGAAAATTAATTCAATTGATAATTTATGTTACGTAAGAAGGATTACGGATTTTAAAAACGGTGGATGTTGGCATATCGTTAATTTTAACGCAGAAATAATCTTTAAATAAACTTTAACTAACAGAAAAGGCTTTGGTGGATAATGCTATATATTTTAAAACTTATTAAATTTGTTTACTTTTCATATCGCTTCCTTCCTTTTATTTAGAAATCAGAGAAATGATCATCTGAGATCATCGACGAGGAAAAGCATTTTAACATTTCTTAATCATTCTTCTTCCACAAATGCGTTTGAAATACATGGAGTCTTTAAATAACGCTGTATCCACAAATAGTGGCATCAAGCAATCCTGTGTCGCTAAGGTTGCTATCACGTCGGCTGTTGATTTTAGGATGTTGTGACAGCGATTTTCTACTGTTAATGGTTTTTTTAATCTTACTCTTTGACAAGTGCTTAAAAGGAGAAAAAAATTAATCATTTTAATGGATCACAGAAGACAAAAATATCATTCTTCCCGCTTTCAGCGAAGCGAAAAATCTTATATAATTCTAAACGAACCGATTTGAACTTCGTCTGCAGATTGGCTTCGAGGTTAGAAAAGCGAACTTAGAGTTCAGTTCTTTATAATACAAAATGGGGAAGTCGTTCGTAAAAATTGTCATACAATCTAGAAACATAAAACCACTTTCAGTAAACATGTGTAAACGTTTTAGATTTATTGCTTTGAAAATATTTAAAATACACTTAGCATAAATTGCGGACGAGATTATTTTTCTTGTCAAATCTTTTCTGCCGCTTTACATTAAGTTGTCCCTATGTTATAGATATTGAAATGATACGGTGTCTCCCTTGTCGATATTGAAATGATACGGTGTCTCCCTTGTAGATATTGAAACGATACGGTGTCTCCCTTGTCGATATTGAAATGATACGGTGTCTTTCTTGTAGATATTGAAATGATACGGTGTCTCCCTTGTCGATATTGAAATGATACGGTGTCTCTCTTGTAGATATTGAAACGATACGGTGTCTCCCTTGTCGATATTGAAATGATACGGTGTCTTTCTTGTCGATATTGAAATGATACGGTGTCTCCCTTGTAGATATTGAAATGATACGGTGTCTATCTGTGTAGATATTAAATGATACGGTGTCTCCCTTTGTAGATATTGAAAATGATACGGTGTCTTTCTTGTAGATATTGAAATGATACGGTGTCTCCTTGTCGATATTGAAATGATACGGTGTCTTTCTTGTAGATATTGAAATGATACGGTGTCTCCTTTGTAGATATTGAAATGATACGGTGTCTCCCTTGTCGATATTGAAATGATACGGTGTCTTTCTTGTAGATATTGAAATGATACGGTGTCTCCTTGTAGATATTGAAATGATACGGTGTCTCTCTTGTAGATATTGAAACGATACGGTGTCTCCCTCGATTTTGATGTCGATTTTGAAAAATGATACGGTGTCTCCCTTGTAGATATTGAAATGATACGGTGTCTATCTGTGTAGATATTAAAATGATACGGTGTCTACCTTGTAGATATTGAAATGATACGGTGTCTTTCTTGTAGATATTGAAATGATACGGTGTCTCCCTTGTCGATATTGAAATGATACGGTGTCTTTCTTGTAGATATTGAAATGATACGGTGTCTCCTTTGTAGATATTGAAATGATACGGTGTCTCCCTTCTCGATATTGAAATGATACGGTGTCTTTCTTGTAGATATTGAAATGATACGGTGTCTCCCTTGTAGATATTGAAATGATACGGTGTCTATCTGTGTAGATATTAAAATGATACGGTGTCTCCCTTGTAGATATTGAAACGATACGGTGTCTCACTTGTCGATATTGAAATGATACGGTGTCTCCCTTGTCGATATTGAAATGATACGGTGTCTTTCTTGTAGATATTGAAATGATACGGTGTCTCCCTTGTCGATATTGAAATGATACGGTGTCTCTCTTGTAGATATTGAAACGATACGGTGTCTCCCTTGTCGATATTGAAATGATACGGTGTCTTTCTTGTCGATATTGAAATGATACGGTGTCTCCCTTGTAGATATTGAAATGATACGGTGTCTATCTGTGTAGATATTAAAATGATACGGTGTCTCCCTTGTAGATATTGAAATGATACGGTGTCTTTCTTGTAGATATTGAAATGATACGGTGTCTCCCTTGTCGATATTGAAATGATACGGTGTCTTTCTTGTAGATATTGAAATGATACGGTGTCTCCTTTGTAGATATTGAAATGATACGGTGTCTCCCTTCTCGATATTGAAATGATACGGTGTCTTTCTTGTAGATATTGAAATGATACGGTGTCTCCCTTGTAGATATTGAAATGATACGGTGTCTATCTGTGTAGATATTAAAATGATACGGTGTCTCCCTTGTAGATATTGAAATGATACGGTGTCTATCTGTGTAGATATTAAAATGATACGGTGTCTCCTTTGTAGATATTGAAATGATACGGTGTCTCCCTTCTCGATATTGAAATGATACGGTGTCTTTCTTGTCGATATTGAAATGATACGGTGTCTCCCTTGTAGATATTGAAATGATACGGTGTCTATCTGTGTAGATATTAAAATGATACGGTGTCTCCCTTGTAGATATTGAAACGATACGGTGTCTCCCTTGTCGATATTGAAATGATACGGTGTCTCTCTTGTAGATATTGAAATGATACGGTGTCTTTCTTGTAGATATTGAAATGATACGGTGTCTCCTTTGTAGATATTGAAATGATACGGTGTCTCCCTTCTCGATATTGAAATGATACGGTGTCTTTCTTGTAAATATTGAAATGATACGGTGTCTCCTTTGTAGATATTGAAATGATACGGTGTCTATCTGTGTAGATATTAAAATGATACGGTGTCTCCCTTGTAGATATTGAAACGATACGGTGTCTCCCTTGTCGATATTGAAATGATACGGTGTCTTTCTTGTCGATATTGAAATGATACGGTGTCTCCCTTGTAGATATTGAAATGATACGGTGTCTATCTGTGTAGATATTAAAATGATACGGTGTCTTTCTTGTAGATATTGAAATGATACGGTGTCTCCCTTCTCGATATTGAAATGATACGGTGTCTCCCTTGTAGATATTGAAATGATACGGTGTCTCCCTTGTCGATATTGAAATGATAAGGTGTCTTTCTTGTAGATATTGAAACGATACGGTGTCTTTCTTGTAGATATTGAAATGATACAGTGTCTCCCTTGTAGATATTGAAATGATACGGTGTCTCCCTTGTAGATATTAAAATGATACAGTATCTTTCTTGTAGATATTGAAATGATACGGTGTCTATCTTTGTAGATATTAAAATGATATGGACATTCTCTGGTAGATATTAAAATGAGACGGTGTGTATATTGTAGATATTAAAATCATATGGTGTCTCTCCAGTAGATATTAAAATATTACCCCTATCTTGTAGATATTAAAATGATATTACCCCTATCTTGTAGATATTAAAACGAGATGGTGTCCATATTATATATTAAAATTATATGGTCCCTATTTTGCAAATAATAAAATGAGACGATGTCTATCTTGTAGATATTAAAATGATACTTTCCCTGTTTTGTAGATATTATAATGTTAATGTGTCTTTCTTGATGATTTTAAAATGAAACGATGTTTTTATGTAGATATTAAAATGATACGGTTTCATTCTTGTACAAATGATAAAATGAAAATGGTTGAAAATGAGAACTTCTGGCATTGCTCTGATATTTCGCCACTTTTAGTAGCTTTCGGATACAGCGTCAAAAGAAGTCCAATGTTCCATAGGTAACGAGAGAAACTAACATTGTCTACCAATGTTATAAAAGGTGTGACAGGCAATTATCCCTGGTCTACTAGAATATCAGTTGTTTGCTATTTCATTGTCATTGTTCTTAGGAAAATATCAAAACTGAATTTGTGATAATCTAAAAGTGAAGAAACTTTAAAAATACTTCATACTGAATTTAGTTGTAAAAAATGTTGAAAGATCAAAAATAAACTCCATTGTGTCGACAACCCCATGAATTATTTCCTTTCTTTGAAATATTATAGCATCCATCATTTCGCAAGAAAAAATCCTTTCTGTCAATAACCGAAAAAGCAAGCTAGTTTTTTATTTTTAAAGAATCACCGATCTGATCCAGAATTTTTTCTAGTTATGATGGCACAATTCCACTGAATTTTACCAAGAATTGATACTTTGTAAAACTCCTATGTGGATGCTTTCCTGAACAAGACAATCAAGGGTAAATAGTTATCTGTCCTTCAAACATCTTAATATTCACGCCCTCTATCATTCACACCACACATCAGTAGTCCTCTACTTTGAGTGGCTCTTCAGGCATTTACGTGAGGTGCTTACTAAAGGGACATTTAGTATAAAAAATCTCAATCTGTTCATATCTATCTGACTGGATACACATGTAACTAATATTCATTCATGTTCACCTAATCCAGTCTAGTCATATTTTCTTCGCATTTAGTCTATCTATCTATCTATCTATCTATCTATCTATCTATCTATCTTAATATATTAACATCTATCTAACGCAGTCTGTTCAAATCTACCTATCTTTTTCTTTTCTTTTTTTTAGTCATTTCACCCCAAGCAAGTCAATAAAGTGTTAGAGAATATTATAAAAGCTTTTATTAAGGAGAGAGGACAATAAAAGAACAAGAATTAAGAAGACAAAAGATAACGATTGACATTGCGTTTAAATTTTTGAAAATCAAATTGCTAATACGAGAAAAAGAAAACACTATTAAGGAGGGAGGATAATAAAATAAAAAAAAAGAAGAAGACAGGAGATAACGATTGACATTGCATTTAAATTTTTGAAGATTAAAGTTGACTAGGAAGCAAGACACTGAAAGAGAGTTTCATAAGTGAGAAGTGCGACAAAATAAACTGCCGGCATAGAATTCATGGTTACATCTAGCGGCCTTTTCAACAGTAAAATGATGAGACCTTGCCGCCAATCTAGTAATGTGCTTAAATTCATAAAGTCTAGGTACCACGGAGGAAAGTTCCTCAGAACAATTACCATGAAAGTATTTACAAAAAAAGCACAGGAAAACTATGTTACGACGGTGGCAAAGTGACTGAGTCGGAGATGCCAGATCAGGACCAATAATATTACAGATTCTTCTTTTGATTTTATCAAGAATCTATAAATATATCACAGGAGGAACAGACTAGATGTGGCAGCAATATTCAAAGCAAGAACGAATGGTAGACTTATAAATATGCGCGAAATTCTGGCGAGAAAAATTGTCCAGAAAGACATAGTAAACCAACTTTATTAGCTGAAGATTTAGCTATTAATTCAATATAGACTTCTCACTTTATGTCAACTGAAAACGTTAGCTCGAGAAGGCGCATAAAGTCACTCTCCTAGCGCTAAAATATATCTATATTTCTCAATATGATAACATCTGTCTAACATTGTCTGTTCATATCTATCTATCTAGCTAGCTATCTGTTCATATCTCTATCTGAATCTGCTCATATCTATCTATCTATCTATCTATCTATCTATCTATCTATCTATTTGTTCATATTTCACTATCTCAGTCTGCTCATATCTATCTATCTCAATACGTCCTATCTATCTAAGCCAGTCTATTCATATTGTATTTTATCCCAGTGTAACTACAACAGTATGACTCCACCTCAGCTTTCCACCCCACATTACAGCTCTATTACCTTTCGTGTTAGTGTGAACCAAAAACTGGCAAATGCCTTTTGCACTCTCACAAGGGAATGGATGATGAAAATCAACGCCGTAGCGAGAAATGATGGCACGAACCCCGCTTCCAATATGTGTAGTTGCTTAATTCAAGGATTCTCTTGAACGGTCTGGGCGTGTGGATAGTGACACCTGAGAACAATAACTGCCACTTCTGATAGATTTTTCCCCTAAATCCTTTCTCCTACCAACTCTCTAATTATCTTAGAAGCAAGACGCGCAGCTGTAACGAACGGCATCGAAACTACCAGAAGAACAGTCTCTCTCCGTTAACAGGTAGCTCAGAAGTCAATTCAATCCCAACTGTGACCACTAATATAGACCTATGACCGGAAATCCTCAATATCCGGTTATGTTATCACTTGCTCCTAAGAATTTTCATTTATTTATTTATTCCCTTTTGGTCAAGTATGTGACGCTTTAAAAAGCATATCTCACAAGCTTATTGCCGGCCATAAAACACGAAATACTTGAAACTGTGAAAAAATCTCACACTATCTTCTTCCTTGTGGGCATTCCAATCATAGTGTTTCAAAATTTTATGATATATATATATCTATTTATATTTATGTATTTCAGTCGGTTCATAGCTGTTTTATTCGATGCACATCTCTTAGTATGTCAATATCTATATATTAATCTTTCTCAGTTTGTTAATATTTCTATCATTATAATCACATCTACGTATTTACGAAGCGCTACCTAAACCTAGGCAAAAAATATTACTTCAACACCGAGTTTCTACTGGTTATTTCTACTCACAGAAAACAACTTTGCACATTTTCTTACGATGTGCAATAAAGTGTAGGCACGGGTGATTTTGACCCATTTCCCTACAAAATGAATAAAAAGAAAACTGGCACGTTTTATACTTAATGCTATTTTGCGTGAAGTGTAAAAAAAATACAAACTAAGATTGATTTTATCTTTCAAATTATATGATTATTAAGAAGTTAAAATGTTTCTTAGATAATAATACAGAGAAATTGATTGAAAATAAAACCGTCTGCTATTGCGACGGAGAGAAATTTAATTTTCAAAAGCCGTTGCAGATTAATTAAGTCCTGATTGTTCGCACTTCAAGAATCTCATATTTTGCAAATGAATGACGGAATAGAGTCTTTCTGTTTTTTCCGAATACTTTGTCTTTACTGGATTTTTGTCGAAATATTTTTGGTGCATATGTAATCATCTCATTCATTCCGGATCTTAGGTAATAATTATCTTCAATTTCGGTACATACGTAATCATTACGTTACTTTCAGTACATATGTAATGATTTCATTCATTTTAAGTGTATATGTAACCACTCCCTTCATTTAGGTGTGAATGTAGTCATTTCTTTCATTTTAAGTGCATATGTAATCACTACTTTCAGTTTAGGTGCATATGTAATAATTCCCTTTATCTTAAGTGTATATGTAATCATTCCCTTCATTTTAGGTGCATATATAATTATTCCCTTCATTTTCGGGGTTTATCTAATTATAACATTTATTTTCGGAGTATATTTAATTATTGCCTTTATTTTAGCGTTCACCTAATCCTTGCCTTATTTTCGGTGCATATATAATCATTACTATAATAAGTTCATATTATATGTTTATCTTTTAGCGTAACATATTTTAGAAACAGAGACTTCAAAAGAGCTTCGCTTGAATAAAGGCATTGAGTTTAAGCATTTCTTTTTATCCATTGATTAATCTTAGGTCTTTCAGCAGCAGACTACAAGTAATTTAGATTGATGCAAATGTCTCCAGCGCCATTAACATAATCTTGTAAGTGTCATTAAAGGTTATTGCCTTTACTGTTCGTTTAACGTTATCGAACGCAGGTTAATAAGAACAGGGGAGTAAATCTACCATACGTGAAATTATTGTTTATTCTACTCCAGACTTCGTCAATTAATATCAATGTGTGTGTGTGGCGTTGGAACATAACGTCATTTACTAAAGGCCATGTCATCGTGCATCTCTCGCCCAAAACTGGCAGCCTATCTCAAATATCGCCGTACAACTGACAGCGAAAATTTCTGTTTGGGTAGTTCACTGATCTGTGTGTGTGTGTGTGTGTGTGTGTGAGAGAGAGAGAGAGAGAGAAAGAGAGAGAGAGAGAGAGAGCGGCCGCGGGCTCCTCATCCGATTCGTGAACCTTACATTCTAGCCTGTGAGAAGTGCATTCTTACTCCTAAGGCGATCGTTTATATATCTATCTCTGTTAAGCATCTCTGTCTCACGTGCGAATCCCAAATAAAGGTTAGCTGATCGCATGGGTCCGCACTCGGCGGCTAGGATTCCATCTCAGGTTAACCTTACACCTGACTTCTCTGAAGTACACCGAGAACAAAACATATTGTGCATGATCTACGTACATATATTTAAGCCATTACACAAACGCATTTCACAAGATACGATAGAAAAACCTACTTAAAATACGAGGAAAGCTTCATTTTTATGGGAAAAATATTCAAGGAATCTGTATCCTTTACTCGGAACAATCAGCCTGCATAGGGCTAGAGAACATTCCACAAAATACAAAGAGGAGTAAGACAATGATATTTTTTTTCACTGGATTTCATAACTGTACCAAATAATAGAAACTGCTTTACTTGAAAATTACCAGCAACAGCTAAAATGGATATCACATGTAACTCAAAGGGAAAATAATGACTGGATTTTCTTCAGCTTTCTAAATCTGTTTAAGCTCTTCCATCATCCTGTTGTCTTTAAGCTAATGATTTCGGTGTTATTTTATACGTAATCTAGTCTATGGTTAATTCTGGTTATCGAGAGACATTTTGTGTACAGAGCCAAAATAAAAGCGTCAACAAGAGGGAGAAAATGCATCCAATAAAAAAAACGAAGATGTCAACTACTTAGAATATTTCTCTCTCCGTATCTAGAGAATGAATTTTGTCCTATATTCGTAACTGTCTTATAATGTCGTTTGAAAATAATTGTTGAAAGTG